CCCCTATCCTGGCACTTGCTTGTGGGGACACATCCCACAATGAGGCTGCCGTCTTTGTCGTGGCCATCCTTTGCATTTCCAGCCCATTCTTACTAATCATTGCTTCTTATGGCAGAATTCTAGCTGCCGTGCTGATCATGCCCTCCCCTGAAGGCCGCCGAAAAGCTCTTTCCACCTGTTCTTCCCACCTACTTGTAGTAACACTCTTCTATGGCTCAGGATCTGTCACCTACTTGAGGCCCAAGGCTAGCCATTCACCAGGAACGGATAAACTCCTAGCCCTCTTCTATACAGTGGTGACATCCATGCTCAATCCTGTCATCTACAGTTTACGGAACAAGGAGGTCAAGACAGCTCTTCGGAGAACTCTGGACAAGAAGAATGTTTTGACTCGTCGGTAGATTTCAGAGGATCAGACAAATCTGCTCTTTGCAAAAGATGCACACACAACCTAAGAGTAAATAAAGAAAGAAACAAGAAACTGATCAACCTATTTTTGTAAGGACCTTTAATAACAGTGCTTATTATTTTGAAGACACCTCTTGCTCATAGCTAAAAGCTCTGATTGCCAAATTCTGTAAGGAAGTTGACTACCAAAGAATTTTAATAGGTGAGTTCAGCATTAGACAGGTTTTCCAAAATATTTCAGTTTAAGCTAAAGTTTAGGCATAGAGAATAAATTGCTGGACTATAGCTCAGAAGCCTGGCAAATTCCCATTCTATACTCCTAGGCATTTTGTAGCCCCTGAGGGGCCCATCTGATTTCTGCATTCATCACTAGGGGTAGTGCTCCCACATATGTCTGTCCCACGTGACTCTTAATTCCTAATAACACCATTTTGCATATTATTTCCTTCAATAAAAAAATGTTTTAAAATTCTTCAACCTTAATTATTGGTACATGACATAGAGTTAAATAATTCTTTTTGTGAGTTGTGTGTACTATAATAACATGAAAATATCCAAAAAAACAGCAAACTCTCATGTTTCAGAAGTATTTGTTGCAGAATATTTTTTTAATTGGTAAAATTTTTCGAGTCCCCATGATGAAAGATTGTTTTAAAAAGAAAGAGAAATCATATTTAAATTCAAAGGTAGAAGAAGAAAACTGAACTATAAATAATATGATTTAAAAGATTTGTATGTAATTTACAAAATTTACATATGTGCAGATGAATCCTGACTTGATTTGGAAATCATCCAAATACTTGCTCTTAAGGGAAATGAACATGGTTACAACACAGTCTAGTAGCTCTAGGCATCAATAAAGACATTGCCTTGGATCTGAACATCTAGTTCTCATGGATGTGCTGTGATCTATGAGGGATTAATAACTTATACAGTAGTGGTAATATGACAAGGAGTGAAGAACTGTGACTGCTACTATGACAGTTTACAGTATAGGATGAATAAGTTCTGGGGATCTAATGTATAAGCATGGTGACTATAGTTAATGATGTTGTATTGTATGCTTGAAATTTGCTGAGAGAGTAGATTTTAAGTGTTCTTACCACACACATACAAAAAAGGTAACTATGGGAGGTGATGGATATGTTAAATAACAATTGTGGTAATCATTTCACAATGTATACACATATCAAATTATCACATTATACACCTTAACTATGTAATTTTACTTGTCAATTATACTTAAATAAAGCTGGAAAAGAAAAAAAGAAAGCACTTATTCTAATATCAGGAAATTGTAGTGATGTACACTAACGACCAAGATGTGTGTTTTGCCTTCATTTAAATATAATATATTGTGTTTTTTATTTACCTGCATGTATAGTAATTAACAATGGAAATAATCTGAATGTACAAAAATAACTGGTTGACAATTATGCTAGAGGAATAGGCAGGAATTATATTTAGGCATTAGAGGTAATTATTTATGTTTATTAATCTAGAAAAAAACAAATGATTCATTAAGTATTAAAGCAAATCAAAACCAATTTGCATAACATCATCATCATTGTTTAGTTTGTAGTTTGAAAAGAACAAAATGAAATATTAACATTAGTTTCTTAGAATATTCACATTATTGGTGATTTTTTCTTATTGCTGTTTCTAAGTTTTCTTCAAAAAACATGTAGTTTACATATAATACAAATGTCCAAATATTTAATTGCAGACTTTTTTCTTAAAACAAATATAATACATACTTTTCAGAGATTTATAAAATACATGAAAGTGTAAACGTTAAATTTAATCCATTTATACTCCTTCAATCTAGCAATAATCAATGTAAATATTTAATTTATTTTATTTTAGCCTTTTTCTTCCTGCTAACCACATACTCATGCAAATCACTTCTCATGATTGATTATGTTATAAAAAATATACTGTTTTGAAGTCAGTTGAATATACAAAAACACCAGTAATGCATCTTTAAGAACATTTAATGTTTAATTTTTTAAATACCTATCTTGTTGTTAATTAACTTACCCTCAGTATTTTCTGTACTAAATATTCCTGAATATTGATAATAGTTAAAAATTCCTTACTAGCTCTGATCCTCAAACTCTGTACTGTTTACACAGAGTCTTTGGTGTACATTTTCCTCAGTGCCAACTATAACACCACCACCCTCATTAATGGTAACTACCATTTACTGATTCTGAATTTAGAAAAGGAACAGCTTGGGCTCATTAAATGTTTGTCTAATTTTACGTTCAAAACCACCCCTGTACCATTATTGCCCTGATTCTACACATGCGGAAACCAAGGGACAGAAAATGGGAGCAGCTCATCTCCAGAAGTGAAACGTGGTCCAGTATTTACTCCAGGCAATCTGGTCCCAGAAGCCAAGATGTGAGGCTCTACGCCATGATTTCTAGACAGACTTATTTCATTAATTCTGATTCCCTGCATTCCTTGTCCCTGAGATAAATAAGAATGAAGTAGACCAAATGGCTCCAGAGGCTGTCTCTGCAAGGAAGTTATAGCACTGGTGTTTAGGTTTCTTTCGAACTTGTGAGATTTTTTTGGCTGATTTTATTTTCTTTTTTGAAGCTTCTCCTTTGGTTTTAATCAGTATATGTGATGGAATCAGTAACTTTTGATTTACATTTTGAAATATCTTAAGGAAAACCTAAATAATACCTAAAGTGACTACTACCTTCAAACACGTAGATCATATTTTCTGTTTATATAAAAATCCAGTCACCAGCATGTTCTGTTTTAAAGCAAAATTCTCAAACAAATGGATTTTTAGAATGTACTAAGATTTGATTCAGTAATCAATGAACTAGCAGAGGATAAAAGACATGTTGTCCAGGGCATAAAAAATAGGAGATATAGACAGAGAGAGAGCATTTCCAAAAGGAATTTATTAACTTCATAACTCTTGGAGTTATTTTCTATACTAAGTTATTAAATCATAGCATATTATTAGCTTTTATAGGTTAACGTCTCTCCTTACAGAACTGTAAACCAGGGGTCAGTTTGCAAACTATAAGCAGTGGACCGAATCTGATCTGCTGCCTGTTTGTGTAAACAAGATTTTGTTGGAGGAATACAACCAAGCTACTCATTTACATATTTTCTAGGGGCTGCTTTGTGCTGTAACTGCAGTTAGTGGTTGCTGCAGAGATCTTATGGACTACAAAGCCTAGATTAAGTATCTAACCCTTTGCAGAAAATGTTTGCTGATTCCTGTTACAGATAAAAAGACACTTAAAAAGCGTACCAACAAAATGCAAGGTTTAGAACTTTTTTGAATCTTGATTTGGACAAATCAAAGTTAAGAAAACAATTTTAAGACAGGAAGATGAACATGGGCAGAGAGATTAAAATGGGGAAGTATTGTTAATTTTAATTCTAAACCATTTTGTAATGATGTGATATGTTTGTAATGATGTGTTGCCTGGAATTTAAAAGTTACAGCAAAAAATTGTGGGAGGAATAGATGAAAGAAAATCGGCATGATATAGAAAATTATTAAAGCTTGTTGTTATTTATGTACATGGGTTTATTTTATATTATTCTAATCTCCATTTTCTATGTGTGAAATTTTTACATATTAAGAACAATAATGGTTTGTCCACTATGTTACTGATTTCTATCCTGGTTTCATTTCTTTTTTCAGATAAAGTGCTCTTAGGCTTTGAAACTTTTGAAATGTATTCATGTTTACTTTATTACTCCATCTATGATCAACATTTTGTAAATGTTCTGTGTGTGTCTTAAAAATCTTTTGTTAGCTTCAATGTTCTCATTATATTTATTAGGTAATTTTATTGTTTTATTCACATTTTCTATAGCCTTACTCATTTATGTTTGTATGTCTTTTCTACCAGTTACTCGTCCAATTCTGGCTGTGGATTTGTCTATTTCCTTTTTTAATTTGTTAGGTTTTGCTTTACAGTTTGAAGTTATGTTATAGGATGCATATACATTTAGGATGATAAGTTTCAAGATGACTAAATATTTTAACATTATGAAATATCACTCCTTATTTCTAATAATAGACCTCCCTTAAAGTCTACTTTTTCTCATACTAGAATAACCATGCCAGCTTTCTTTTGCTAGTGCTCACATGGTATGTCTTTTCTTTGTTCTTTTTTTCTTTTTTTAACATTTTTTTCTGCCTCTTTTTTTTTTAATTTTTATTTATTTATTTATTTTTATTTTTTTTAGAATTTAACAAGCTAGTTGATTTTATTTCTTAAAAAAAGCCATAACAATTAATATTTTTAAAATACAGAATGATTAAATGTCAACTTAGAAATACAATCCAGAGTTTCTGAAACACCCAGAGGGTACAACATACTTATAGCCTTTTCCTATTTCCTTCCATATTAGCTACATTCGAGTTTGAGCAATGATTTTTTTTTTTTTACATTTTTTATTGAGTTATAGTCATTTTACACTCAGCGATTTTTCTGATCTCTCCCACCCATGGAGGAAGCTTCCAAGGGATATGAGCTATGAGACAGAACATTTCTCTTTG